TGAAAAGAGGTGCAGAGGACTGATGCTGGGAGATATGGGTTGAGAAAAGACGGGCGTAAATGGTTGTAGAGGAAAAGCACAGGACACATAAAAGATTTGAGTAATAGGTTTCCTGGATGAGAAGGGGAGAAGAAGAGATATAGAGAAAGCTAAAAGACTAAAAAACAGGAGGAAGAGGAGGAAGGAGATGAGAGGATAACAGATACGAGAGCAGGGAAAGAGTTGACAGCCTGCCACCCCACAGTCACGTCACACAATTTACTATGTTCTACCCCATAATGTTTTATAGTTCAAGCACTGATAGCACAGTAGTGAGTAGCGATCTCATTTCACAACCCATATCCTTCAGTAATGTGAACACAAAGGGAGAGGCAGAGCCATTAGCAGCGTCCAGCGCTCATCTGCTCCTGCTAATGCATAATTGGCTTCTATGGAAGGAAGCAAGAAAGGATAAACAGCAAGCAATCATATTAACTTTTGTGAATCCTAATTGAAATCCGTTAACCATCAGCAGAGATAATAGAGGCTAAGGAGATGCGGGGCAGATTCTACCCCGAGCCCTCGCCCTTCCATCTCATCATACAGATGCGCGTGAACACACGGGTTTAGATCCTAATCAGCTGTTCTGCTTGTGCTCACCAAGGGTGTAAACGCAGGAAACAAGCATGAGAACAATGATGTGAAATTTTACCTCCATCAGAGATCACACTCAAATTTAAATCCATCACAGCCCCTTTGTGTGGGTTTAAAGGGCAAAACATCCACCCATCCATTTTCTGCCACTTATCTTGGGTCAGGTCGCGGGGCCAGCAGCCTAAGCAGAGACTTAGGCCAGCTCCTCCTGGGGAAATCCCACGGTGTTCCCCGGCCAGCTGAGAAATATCCCTCCAGCGTGTCCAGAGTCTTCCCTTGGGTTTCCTCCTACTTAGACGTGAACGGAAAGCCTCACCAGGGAGGCATCCTGGAGGCATCCTAACTAGATTCCACATCAACTGGCTCCTCTCGATGTGGAGGAGCAGCAGGTCTACACCGGACCCCTCCCAGATGGCCTAGCTTCTCACCCTATCTCCAAGGGAGAGCCCAGCCACCCTGTGAAGAAAACTAATTTCGCTGCTTGTATTCATGATCTCATTCTTCCGGTCACTGCCAAAAGCTTGTGATCATAGGTGGGAGGGTAGG